TCGGGCCGCCCCTGGCCGCCGGGCGCCTCCTCGAGCCTCGGCCGCGCGGCCCTCTGCGGACTCGCCGAGCGCTCCCTCTGCTCCCCGAGGCGCTGCTTCTTCTGGCCGCCGGCCGAAAGCTCCTTTGGTTTCCTAACGTCGTGTTCCCTTTTGATATCCCAAGTCGGGTCTGGGCTTATCTGGTGGGAAGGGTCGGAGGGTGGGGCTGGATGTGATGGAGAGAATGGAGAGAGGACGTCCTCGAGCGAGACGCCTACTTCCGGCAGACCTGGGGCGGCGGCAGCGGGAGAGCTCCAGGCGCTGGGTTCGTCTGTGGACGGCAAGCACACCCCACCCCCACCGGTAGACCAGGAGGCCCACGCCAAGCCCCGGCCTAGGCCCTTCGCCTGGGCGCCTTCTAACTTCCTGGAGTGTCTGTATTAGGTTCGACAGTGCTGGGTGGACGTCAGACTTGGCAGCACCTGTATCGATGGTTCTCGAACTCGAGTATACATCGGGAATCACCTGGGTGATGGTGAAAAATACAGATTTCCCGGTGACCGAATGGGAGATTCCATCAGCATGAAGTTCGGGAATTAATCTGCATTTTTAACAGGCACCCAGAGGATTCTGAAGAAGATAACCCTAGAGCCGAGCTGTGAGAAACATCGGTCTGAGTCCTCTCTGAGAAGTTGGGAGAGACTTTCTCAACCATTAGGTGTCACTCAGAGCATAATTCTTGGCTACTGTAAGATAGTTTCAGAATTTGGATAAATTCATCTAAAAACTGTCATTGTCTTGCCTTTCAAAAATCGTTGTCCTTCATTCTTTTTAGTACTTCTAAAGTTGCGGGAGGCCCCGGGACTAAGATAAATAATTCTATCTAGAAAGCCTAGTTTCAACATTTATTTAGGATTTAAACTCTGCTTCCAAAAAGGATTTAAGACAGTTTACAACATCAAAACACATATAAAATAGAATGATAAAAATGAGAGATGGGGGCCAGCCCGGTGGCACACTGCTACAGTGCTCCGCTTGGGAAGCGCGCCGGTGCTCCCGCCCGAGGGTTCGGATCCCACATACAGACCGGTTCCCGCTCACTGGCTGAGCGAGGGGGGGGAGCAACACCGAGGGCTGCGATCCCGTTGCTGGTCCCCGGTCCGGTACGGGGGCAACACTGAGGGTTGCGATACGTTGCCGGACACGGAAAAATGACAAAATAAATAAATAAATAAATAAATAAATAAATAAGAGATGACTTTTTTTTTTTTTTTTTAAAGCAACGGCTGGTCAGAGGCTAAGTAGAAAGAGGACAGATGTGTTAGGAATCTGAGATGGGTTAGTTACTATTATGAGCAATAACATCACCCTTGAGTTCTGGCCACTAAGGTGAAATTAAAGCAGAGAAATCCAACAGAGTGAACCCTTGCTATTTGTAAGGAATATGTCCCATGACCTTTGGAAATGCTCAAATTTCGTGATATCACTCTAGAGTATAATTTTTCTCCATGGAATTGGTATATGGTCATGAGTGGGAAACAAGCCACATTGATGCTTGAATTCTGGGAGGCAATGAGCCTTGCTCACTAGCTAAGAGATTCGGCCCCACACACCAGCCTCAGTGCAAATGATTCAACTCTCTGCCTTTGTAACACGTGCCAGAAATATCAGGGATCCTTGCCCATATTCAGTTTATGAATGTCAAGGGTCAACTTTGTGTTAGAGTTGAGGATTCTTATATGGTACCTTTGATACTGATTCATAAAGAGGTAAGAGGAGGAAGAGGGCAGTGGGCTCGATTTTTCCAATAATTCTGGCCACCTTTAGAATATCAAATCAGTTATACAAAAGTTTCTCCTTTGATGTGAAATTTGAATGGAGTATTTCGGGCACAGTGTTACCTTTCTTCATTCCATAGATTGGTGTCCATTATTATTTTCACATGGTGAGTAAAAAGTCCTAGAAAAGCATCAGAAGATCTGGAATATAACCCTGCCTCTGGCGTTTGTTTCCCAGCAATGTGATTTTGGCCCAACCACTAGATCTCTCTGAGCTTGTTTCTTCCTTTATAAGATAGGGGTCAAACATCCAACCTCACAGATGTGAGACATGCACTTTCTACGGGAAAAGCACCTTGCAACGGGAGGTTTATGACCATTATTTGCACATAGTTGAGAAATACTTTTCTTCTGTACCCCAGTGGCTGCCTACTTATGGACTGGGCTCCTGTGGAAGTTGCTGCATTAAGTAGCACATTTGCAGGTGATGTTTTGAAAAGGTGCAATCAGTCAGTCATTCCCACATGCTATGACTGCCAGGTGTGGTTTTGCTATGCCTAGGTATCCTTGGTTTCCTCAAAGAATACTCTGAAATCTGCAATGCAAATGTATTGAATGAAAATTGGAATATGTGCTACTTTTGGCTGAGAGTTTAAAAACAAACGAATGATAGATGGTGGCAGCTTCACCAATATGATGATATTGCCTACAAGAGTTAAAAGTGGTCTTCAAAAGACCTAGAAGGTAGCTTGTGCAGTGGTAATCTCTGATGTGGACCATGGTAATGATATTTCACATTTTAATAGCTCTTTTCCCCACCATTACACCACATATGGTATAGTCAATTAGCTAGCCTCAAATTACTTCTGAGATACAGGGAGAAGGTTAATATTATTCACACCATTTCCTGAAGGGAGAATTGAAATAGAGAAAGGTTAAATAATTTGACCAAGATTACAAAATGGGTCAGCCAGGAGTAAAATTTTGGGTTTCTTTACTCTTTTTACTTACTGAGATAATTATCCCAAAAAGTCACCTTGCAAATAGGATCAAAGCATGTGAAATGGACATGCTCAGTGGCCACTGCTGACCAACAGGCACTGGATCCCAGTATAATGAACAGAATACTTAGCATTTATTTCTGAACATCTGACTTACCACATGTCTGACACTGAACTGCTGAATTCCTGTGCAGAAAAATGGAAAATATTAAACTGCACATATAAATGTCCATCCATAGCTGGCCTGAAATTACTTCTGAGATGCAGGGAGACACTCATCTCTTTCCTTCTACTCTTGCCCAACTCCATTGATTCTCCATATAATAAACTAATAGGTAAGATTATCCACAAATACTAAGGGATTCCTCTTATTATAAAAAGATTTATCAAGAGTTTGTTTATAGATCATTAAATACTCAGCAGTAGGGCCGGCCCGGTGGCGCACTCGGTAGAGTACAGTGCTTGGGAGCATGGCGATGCTCCCGCCGAGGGTTAGGATCCCATATAGAGACCGGTCCGCTCACTGGTTGAGCGCAGTGCGGGTGCGACACCGAGGGTTGCGATCCCGTTGCGGGTTGCGATCCTGTTGCCGGTCTCGGTACGGGCGCGACACCAAGGGTTGCAATCCCGTTACCAGTCACGAAAAAAGACAAAAAGGAAAAAAAAAAATACTCAGCAGTGGGAGAAACTAAAAGTCAAAATGTTCCAAGCTACCGCTGATTAAGAATATTAATCAGAAATTAAAATTAACTAGATCATAAGGGAAAATTGTTTAAAGGAAGGACATTTATATGTGAGGTTTAATGTTTTGTGCTTTTCTGCCCAGGAGCTCTGCAGTTCAACACCACACATGTGGTATCGCACAGGCATGAGCCTGCAAAACTCTGTAAAGCACCAACGGTCCTTCATCTTCAGCAGGCGGCCCTTTATCACCTGCCTCATCAAGGTGACACAAATTGTGGGGGACAGGAAGAGCCCTTCTCTAACATTTCAAATTCTAGTTTTCATGAAGTATTGACACCCAATAGCCAGAAGAATTAATCAAATTTAGTTCTGGTTTCTTTAGACCATGTATTTCCTTCCCTGTCTTCTTTTCTTTCTCCCTATTCCCAACCTCGCTCTCTCCTTCCTTCCTTCCCTTTCTTCCTTCCTTCCTTCTTTCTTGAACCTGGGCCTGGGCTACCCTGTGTGATCATGTTCATTTATGAAGTGGTTGCCGAGGAAGACGTTCTCCACAGCATCCTTCCTGTCTGAGATGTTCTAACTAAAATTAGAAATAACAGAGTGACACATCCCAGAAAGACAAAATCAGCCATGTCCGGCCTGCTGGGATTTCTGCAGCGCTTTTATCCCAACAATGTCTCCAGGCCCAGTGGCTGAAACCAGAAAGGAAAAAGCCTTTCATTCCAAACTGGCTTCCTCAGCCTGCCGTCTCCCACCCCCATCCCAGTGAAACCGCTCTTATCAAGGTCACCAGTGATCTTTCTGTTGTCAAATCCAGACGATACCTCTCTGGATTCATCTCAGTACTTTATCTCACCACATTTTCACCCAGCTGACTACTTCCATTCTCTTGCCATGTATCCTGCCTTCATGGCAGTTCCTTCTCAATTTACTTTGCAGGTTGCTCTTTTTTCAACTGACCTCCTTAGGGCTTGGTCTTAGGTAATTTTCTTTCTCCATAGTCTCTCCTTGGTGTTCTCGTCTGTCTATTCATGTAGCTTCTATACAACAATACTCCCAAATGTTTCTGCTGAGTTCTGTGCTACCCGCTCAGCCTTCTTGATATCTCTACTTGGATAGTTCATTGGCATCTTCAATCTAACAAGTCCAAAATAGAAATCTTTTCTTTTATTCTGCCCAAGCCTATTCTGCACTCTCTCCCTTATCTCCCCATCTTGGTGAGTGCCACAATCATCACTTGGAGTCATCCTTGATTCACTTCTCTCCCTTGCCTCCCAAATACAACGTCCCTGCAAGTCTTAGTAGTCTTCTCTTCAAATATATGTGGACTCTGTCAACTTATCTTCACCTTCACTTTTGCTACTGTAATTCACCATACAGGGCAGTCCCTGGAAGGAGGCAACCTGCGTGGACTGCTCAAGACAATCACAGTTAAGAGAAGGCCACAGTGTGCGCATCTTTCACAAGCCCTTGGGGATACTGTTGAAGACAGAAATTTCAAACATAAATTTCAGAGCTGCTCAGAAAAGAGAAGTTAAGTGCAGTGTACTATGAACCACACACCCTCCCCAGGACAACTACCCTAGTTACCATATCCAAGGGATCAGCCTGCTGAGCTATCATTTCTTACATGGGCTAGTACAATAACCCACTCTTTTCTTTCCTTCTACTCTGGCCCACCTCCAATGATTCTCTATAAAGCATCTGCAATAATCTCTTTGAGACATTAATTAGATCATGCCCTTGCTTAAAACTTTTAGTGGACTCCCATTGCTCATAGATTAAAATCCGAAGTTATTAACATAGTCTACAAAAGCCTGCACCATCTGGCCCCTGCCAACCTCTCAAGCTTCATTTCCCTTCTCCCC